GATGGCGACGCCATCCTGCGCTGGCGCCGGCGCGACTGCGGCAGCCTCGCTCGACTGCGCGGCCAAGCGGTCGCCGACCTGGGCCATCACAGTGCACCCTGCTGACGCCAAGCAGACCTGTGGCGGAGGCGTCCACGAGGGCTTCGGGGCGGCGGGCGCATCCTTGCTACCCATCGCTGGGAACTGCTGGGCTCCCCCGTGCGAGCTCTGGCCATCATCCGTCTTGCCTCCAACTTCGTGCTGCCCCTCCTCATGGGGTGCCTTGGAGGCCGTGTCCTCCTTGGCCTCCTCACGCCGCTCGCCAGGGAGGCCCCTCTGGCCATCCTTATCCTTCTTCTCCTTGTCTTGCTTCCGTGCCTTCTTAGTATCCCGCGCAACCTCTCCCTCCTTTTCTCCTTTCTTCGTCTTCTTCGACTGCTTTGCCTCCTTGCTCTCATTGCCTCGCCTCTGTTCCTCGCCATCCTCCTCCGGTTCCTGCAGCGGCAGCTTTGCCTCCTGGGCACCGCGGCGCCTCCTGGGGCAGCCCTCGCCCTCCTCGCCAGCCTCCGGCGTCGCCTTGGCCACCCTGGCCACGGCAACGGCGCCGCCGCTGCGAGCTGCTGCAGGCGCGGCCGCGGCCGCGGCTCCCGATTTCAGCTCCAGCGAAGCCTGCGCGATCTTCGTGAAGGCCTGGCCTCTCTCTGCTGCAGTCATCTTCTTCACGTACTGGTGCATTCCGTACTTGACTGGCGGCCGCGAGCCTGGCTCGCCAGAGCCGCTGGCCGCGCTGCTCGGCGGCATGGGCGGCCGCCCGCCCGACTCTGGATCGCCAACTCTGGATCTCACGTAGGCGCTGCCTCTACTCGAGCCCAGGACTCGGATGCTCGCTGCGATGGCCCCTATCGGATGCATCGTGATCCCGAATCGATTGCTGGCCCCAGAGGGGCCTGGCCTCAACCATGGCCCCTATCGGATGCATCGCGATCCCGAATCGATTGCTGGCCCCAGAGGGGCCTGGCCTCAACCCAGTACTATGACACGTCTGTGACCGTGGTATTGCATGGAAAAGTATGTCATGTAACATGCACGAGCTGATGTGACGTCACCCTAAGTACGCATGCTGAGCTTATGCATGTGCAATCACCGAACACAGACCAGCGGCGGGGGGCATGGGGGTCGGGCCAATTGGACCAAAAGACGACAACGGCCCCGGGCCCCCTCACCAGGCAACAATCGGCCAGGCGAAACTGTCAAGCTGTGCTGGCCCAGAGAAACGCGTTCCCCCCTCTGAAAGACCATCGAAATCGGAAAACCGCCCTTGCTGCAATGGGGATTCGGGTAACAGGATAACCAGGGGACCACAACACTTGTTTTCGGACGCTCCCCTCGCGGCCGAGGTCACAGCAACTCCGCGGCACGGCGGTCTAAATCGGCCTCGGGGACGATCGGGATGGCTGCCCGCTCGATCCCATTGAGATGTTTAAATTTCCCGTTCTTGAGATCGGAACGGATCTCGAGGCCCATGAGGAGCCACTTCTTGGCCAGGCACCTCGTTTCATCTGGCGTGTTGGTGCAAAAAAGAAACGCTCTCGTGCAAGAGCACCCCGGTTGCCAACTGTTGCGGTGACGGTGGCAATTTCCACCCCACCCGACAAAACGACCTTTGTGCCAAATCTCTGAAACACTGAAAGGGCCAAACGCCACCTTCCGAGCCGCGCGAGGAACCCCTGGCGCCGCGCCGCCTCCTCCTGGCGGGCCGCCGCCGGCGGCGCCGTCGCCGGGCGGCTCGCCGAGGTCGCCTGCAGCGCCGTGATCGCCGCCAAGACCTCCCCTGCCCCTTGCTCGCGCGCCAGCGCGCGACGCCCAGGCGCAAGACTCGGAGGCGAGTCGAAAAAGAGAAGAGAGCTGAGAAGACACGCAGGGAACGAGAGAAGGAGAGAGCGAGAGAGAGAGAGAGAGAGAGAGAGAGAGAGAGAGAGAGAGAGAAAGAGGGAGAGAGAGGAGCAATAAAAAGAGGGAGAGATAAGAGAGAGGAACAACATATAGAGAGAGAGAGGGAGAGAGAGAGAGAGAGAGAGAGAGAGAGAGAGTGGGACACGGAAACAGAGACAGAGACAGAGGGCAAGTGGACACATGCGAGAGAGAGAGAGAGAGAGAAAAAAAAAAAAGAGAAAGAGATACGGCGGCATATATCTTCTGCACAGGTGCATTGAGACCAGGCGAGATGATACATGCATAAGTACATTGGCCGCGCGAACGTGCGAAAGATAGCGAAGCGAGCGACGCTGGCAGGGGCGGTGGCGAAGGAGGGGGCGGGGCGGGAGAGGGGGCGAAGAAGGGCGATGGAGGTGGCGCAGAGGGCGAGGAGGACGAGGGGGAGGGGCGCAGTGGACATGCGGGGGGGAGGGGGGAGGGGGGGGTGCAGGGGCAGAGGCGCGGGAAACGCCGCGCGGCTGGGAAAGATTGCAATCAAGCTGTCGCTCTGATGAGGCGCACGCCCCCCGACACGGATAAGGCGCCATGACCGGTCTGCGCGCGCCAGGCAAGCCCGAAGAAGATGGCGGGCGAGCAACGGCGGGATTGAAGGCGGATGACAGGCCGCAGAAAGGTTAGATGAGGCAAGCACGAAGATAAAGAGAGAGAGAGAGGGAAACAAAGAGAGAGAGAGAGAGAGAGAGAGAGAGAGAGAGAGAGAGAAAGAGAAAGAGCGGAAGTGGCACCGCCGGAGGCGAGGGAAGCGAGCAGACGACGAGATGACAACGACCATCGACATCGCAGCGAGAGGGGGAGATGAAGTCTGGACACTTACTGATAACAGCATTACGAAGAGAAGGCATGAAGCTTGGCCATGGGGGCCTTAACGGCTGACAGAGCAAACATCAAATGGGACAACAGGGTGGGGGGTTCGGCGAGGGCCGCGACAAACGTGGCCGAGCGAGGGGCGAATGGGTAGGATCTGCGACTGGGCTCGCCCGAAATCCTCGACTGACTGCGCTCTGCGCCGCGCAAAGACCTAAGGTCAAGCAAGACAACGTGGCACATGCAAGCACCCCCCCCCCGGACCAGGATGCGGAGGCGGGGGCGGCATCGGGTCGGAGTCGCTGCCGTCGGAGACGTCGACGTCGTCGCCGTGCTCGTCCTCGGCGCCGATCTGGCCCCGGCTGTCGTCGGTGAGCGTGTGCTCTGAGGGGGAGAAGGCGTCCTCATGCTGCTCGTCCTCCCTGGCAACGGCCCTGGGCATGCGCAGCCTCACGCCGCCCTCTCGCCCCCTCGGCCTCCCAGGCCCTTCGTCGACGGGCAGCTTGATCACCCCCGCCAGCATCTCCTTCGCCAACTTACTCCGAGGGGGCCGCCTCGGCGGCACGGGCCTCGGCAAGATGGTGACCTCGGCATGTTCAACTGACCACGTGTCCGAGAGGCCAATGCGAAGAGCTGTCTTGAACTGCAACGTGCCGCCATCAGGGGTTACAGCCGACACGCCGATCGCATGAGGCATGCGGGCTTCGCCTGCCAAGCGGAACAACTGAGCGATGAAAGATGACGCCATCAAGTAGTTGAGCGCCTTGTCTCTACCGTCCAACGACACGACGGAGGAGACCTGATCCTGGGCAAGCGCGCCCGTGGCCAGCAGCGCGACCTCGGGGCTACCATGAGAGTGACATTTGGCGAACCACGCGCCAACCTGCCAGTCGCCTGCCCCCAACACACGGACGAAATGGAAGGAGCCCCTCCTGTGCCCAGCAAGATAATCGCAAAGGTGCTTCGCTGTATCCAGTACGACCCTGTAGCACCACTTGTCCCTAGTAGCGCAGAGTCCAGGGTGCGCCTGGGGGCACGGGAGCTCATACACGAACTCCATGTCAGCGGTGATGTCACCTGACTCGACAAAATTACCCCAGTGCGACCCTACTTAGAAGTTGAGCCCCTAGGAAAGCAGCATTCGTTGCTATGCTATGCTGCGCTATGCTGCGCTATGCTGCGCTATGCTGCGCTATGCTATGCTACGCTGGGCGATGCTACCATATGCTATGCTGCGCTATGGTATGCTACGCTGTGCTATGCTATGCTATGCTCGGCTATGCTAAAGCTCAGCGAAGCTAAGATGCAGGTAAGTTAAGCTAAGATAAACCTGGGCTAGGATGAAGCTAAGCTAATCTAAAATGAAATAAGCTAAGCTAAGATGAGATGAGCAACGCTAAGCTAAGGGGACGTAGCTGGGGGAACCGCAGGGCGGATGCCGGGGGGCGCGCCCGGGGCGAGCCCCACTGCCCGACCCCTTTGAGCCCAGAGAGTAAGAACCCTTCTAGGCAGAGCCGAGGTAGGTAACAAGCATTGATTGCAAGTACCCCTCCCGCCCCGCGGGCTAGGCGGGGGGGAAAAGCGGGCCTCGGACCGATGCCCATCCCCCCCCCCGCCAGCACCGCCACCATTGCCAGAGTGAGTTGCTCGGAAGCTCGTCTCTTTTGTTTGTTTCTCTCTCTCTCTCTCTCTCTCTCTCTCTCTCTCTCTCTGTTTCTCTCTGTCACTATATGTTTATATCCCTCTCTCTATGCGTATCCCTTCCTCTCCCTCTCCTCTCCATCCCCCCTTCCTCCTCCTTCTCTCCCCCATCGCCCTCCTCCTCCCCCCTCTCCGACTGATTTCCCTACTCCTCCTCCAAGCTTAGGGGTCGACAAGATAATGGCGCGGCATTCGAGGCAGCATGGGGGCGCCCAGTGACCTGCATCTGCCGTGAAGAGGGCGTCTGCCTGCAGCTGCCTGTGCATCGGCCCGTACTTGGTGAAGCCCGGGAGGTTCTTCGCGTCCTCCCCGATCCCCAGCGTCTGGCAGACCCGCTGGATGAACTTCTCAACCTGCGAGCGGTGATTGGCAAAGGGAATAACTAGCAGGCCGCCGACGACGCATGCCCTGGGCCCCGCACGATCGGCGAACAGGCCCAGGGGGAGCGAAGTCGGCGAACTCGAGTTAGCGGGGGCGCCCAGATGGCACAGAGGGAGGGGGGCCTTGTAAGGCTGCCGGAC